CAGGCCTCATCATTAAATCTGGCTTTGGGCACCCAAGGTGATCTTAACGTAGATTTTGGCCAAACTCAGGAAGCCTTTCACACGGCTTTTCAACAATGCTCCTCCTGTTTAAAGCCAGGAGGCCCATCCATTCTCTCCGAGACAAGCTCTCTCTCTGAGTTTCATTAGCTAAGGGACAGCCTCAGCCTTACAGCAAGAATGTTCTCACTAGCTTCACTGCTCTTGTACTGCATGATACCACCAAAGCAGACACATATTGTGCCCAGCTTCTACCTGGATGCCTCCTGGGCCAGAAGGCTTCTCTGATTTTCATCTGGTCCTCTTGGCAGAGGATTTGCACACTGACGACTTTCAACATACCTGCTTATCTTCCCTGTACAGGAATAATATCAGCAGATGTCCAACTTAATAGGTTTAAGTTTCTGCAGAATCCTTCTGCTTCTCTCAAAGTACTCACCAAAACATTTCTTCTCTCTTTCCCACAGATAGGAGATGGCCTGCTGGTGCCCCCTTTACAAATTGTCTTGCCTATGTTATTCCCAGTTCTACTGGGTGTGACAAATATGCCCAGTTATCTGAAAACATCAACCGCTATCTTAACTGACGTCTTGTCACAGCCTATTTCTCCTTTTCACACCTAACTCCAAATTTACTTGTGTGACAGCTTCAAAGAAGCCCTGATGACCTCACAAACAGGCTGCCATAGGATGCAAGAAGCTGGAGGCATTAGAAGAGGGACTGTACTTTCTCTCCACTTCTGTTTAAGATCATGAACTACTAACAGTCTTCTAGCCTGTTATATTCCCTTAAAATTCAGGTAATTTAAGATATCCTTAAGATAGTTCCTTTGCTGACAGGTTTTCTCATACAACAGCTGGGATGAATTGAAGGAGCTTGATTCAGTTGCATAGATATAGCAATTTAGTGGCATTTGAGATGTCATAAGGGTATCCCAGAAACCTCCGGAAGTAGTGGAATATGACCCAGGACCTATGGGAGACTCGTGCCCTTCTGGATTGGCAGGTAGAGCCATGCAGGACATCTGTGGGCATTTTTATGTCTGTCTTCAGCTAACTGAATTGATTGTGAAGTCACGCTTTCCATGGACAGCACTGTTCAAGACTGACGAGATTTCAAAACTTGAAGAGGACAATTTGCTCTTTGGTCACCACCTCAGCGATGACTAAGCTAGTGTTTGAACCACATGCTTTCATCATATGGAAGCCAATCACCAGCTCTAACTGCACTTCCCTCTTTATCACCTTTTGCCTTTTGATAATCCTCTGGCCAAAGATGCACACCAAGAGTGTCCTATCTTCCTACTCCTTCTGGCTCCCCCAAGTCTAGGGCTCCTCCTGTTACAACTGGCAGGAGATGGTTTCTCTCATAGCCTGAAGGACCATAAGCCAAATAATTCCTTAGGGTAGAAGAAGGGTTTTATGGTGCCATTTTTATGCTAAAAAAAAGAATAATGAGATCAGTCAGAACGAGCCACCAAATGGCTGCCTTAGCAGCAATCCCATGCTGGCTGCAGAGGGGAGATTGGCTTGCCTGTCTGATTTATTTTCATGGTATGATCACCCCTTTCATGGAAAGTATCTTCCATTTGCAGCAGATGAAGTTCATTATCATTACAAAGAACTCTTCCCTGGATTACTGCAGCTCCAGGATATTTGGCTGACTATGGAAAAGGACTGAGGAGGATTCTCACTCCGTAGCCAGAAAATTTGTTAATTAAGGAGGCTTTCCTGATCAAGTTCCGAATATCCCTCAGAGGCTCATAATAATGTCTATGTCAGGCATAGTCCAAGTTTCTTTCTGATGGTGGCTCAGCCTGATGAACATTTGTAGAGACCATCATTTTAAGCAAAGTCTCCTTCAGTGACAGACAGCTCCAGCATGGGTTTATGTGCTTACTTCATCATCATTTTACAGCCCCAGGCACTGCACTTGCTCAAGACCTTTTCTGTAATGCTAGCCACTCTAAAATGAGTATACTCTTCAGTCTTGCTTGAATATAATGCTCTGTAATGAGCAACACATCAGCAGATGTTTTAAAGAAACTGGAGGAGAAAGCCAGATGCTGCGTCTGGAAGCAATGCCCTGCATGGGAGGCCAAATAACACTCCTGCTGTGTCTGGAGGAGGAATGCCTGCTGGCAGGTAACCGGGCTTGGACAGACCACAGGGCAGACATCATCTGTGGCTCTAAGCACATCCCAAAACATCACAGGGAGCTTGTCCTGGCAAGGAACTGTTTTTTTCACATGATGAAATAGAGAGCAGTCAAGGATTTTATTAGTAGTAATACCTTTATTACTCTTTTTACATTAAAAATTGCCAGGTATACCAGCAAGGCATTTCCTATTAGTAAATAATCTTTTTATCAGTTTTATACCATTAACAATCCAAGATTATACTGACACAAAGCACATCTGACAGAGTTACATCTTACGACTGTTCAGAAACTAAAGCCCAACACAGAAGTCAGCTGCGTGGCTGGTAAGTAGGTCATCTGTTGGGAACAGATGCTCTCTCATCTGCACTGCTTGCCAGTTGGCTTTGCCCTATCATGCCCTAAAGGTCCTACTCTGCCTATCTAAGGGAGAGTGTGGAGACACAAAGGGGCTAGGAATCCTTGACTGATCATTCTCCAAAGGTCTCCTTAACCTGGAACTCTATTGGCTTCCAGTTCACATAAGGCTGACTTGTTCTTCCAAACTTGGAAAATGGATGAAGACAAGGGGATCTGGCTAATGATAATTTGAATATCATTTGGTTTTGCCTCTGTATTGACTTCTAGACCAAATATTTATTTTTTGATGCTAAGACTCTTTGTTTAGCAGTTTCAATTTATCACAAAATAGTTGGTGCCAAGGATTGGCAGAAAGGTGCCTTTATGTGTGTTCCTAAATATACAGAATGAAAAACACATGGCATTTGTTTAAAAGAATATTAAATGACTTATTCAGCTGTGTACATTTGTAGTGACATAATTTAGGATCTCAGAGCCAGACATACCTGCGTTCAATGTAGAAACACATTTAAAACTAAGAGAGTTATGATTCCCTCAGTTTCGTGGGACTCATTCTTAAGACTTAATAGGCTCCATATGTGTTAATTCTTGCATTTATATTTATATATTTGTTCAACATACTGGAAAAATGAGAGAGAGAGAAGGAGGAAGAGAGAGGAAGAGAGAGGAAGAGAGAGGAAGAGAGAGGAAGAGAGAGGAAGAGAGAGGAAGAGAGAGGAAGAGAGAGGAAGAGAGAGGAAGAGAGAGGAAGAGAGAGGAAGAGAGAGGAAGAGAGAGGAAGAGAGAGGAAGAGAGAGGAAGAGAGAGGAAGAGAGAGGAAGAGAGAGGAAGAGAGAGGAAGAGAGAGGAAGAGAGAGGAAGAGAGAGGAAGAGAGAGGAAGAGAGAGGAAGAGAGAGGAAGAGAGAGGAAGAGAGAGGAAGAGAGAGGAAGAGAGAGGAAGAGAGAGGAAGAGAGAGGAAGAGAGAGGAAGAGAGAGGAAGAGAGAGGAAGAGAGAGGAAGAGAGAGGAAGAGAGAGGAAGAGAGAGGAAGAGAGAGGAAGGAAGGAAAAGTTGTTCAGGGATACTCAGCATCCTCTCATGTCCTTCCAGTTTAATGCTTATTCACTTATTAAGGCTAGCAGAAAATGCCTACGACTTTAGAAGAGATGGAACGTACTTTTTTCTTCTTCAATTTCTAAAGCAAACAAGGGATGACCAGCAATGGCCTTGGGCAATGCAGTTTACAGACACACAGCACAGTGCAGTCACACCTTCTCTATAATCAAAAAAATAAAAAAATGAAGTTGAGCATGCAGTCCCTACAGGATCACTACAAAACCCTTCTCAGCTAGCTGATGTGACAAAAAAAAAAAGACCCATATTTGCTCTTTCCAAGTATTAGCAGATAAAGGATGGCTAACTCAATGCATACACAAAACTAGGAGTCTATCATGTCTCCTTTACTGCATGCGAGACTGTTTATTGTTTTCACCCAAATTAAAGGTATCTTACTTCACACATTCTGCAAACTGTTTCACTAAAGCAGGCAAAAAGAGGGACGTGTTTACTCCTGCACATGTTAATCAAAAGGGGATAAACAGAAGTTACTAGAGCTTCTAAAAAAACCAAACCAAAAACATATATCTGCTTTTTAGGTAGAAAACTACAGCTACCTTCAAACACAAGGGAGATGTATATAGAAATGCATCCAGTAAATCACTCTTGCTCCCCTAAAGACATGTGTCTGGTAAAAGGCAGGATGGTCATATGTAAACTAAAGTCAAATATCTGCTTTAATATCTTATCACTTTCTTACAATTGTTTAATTTGACCACATTTTAATTGCAGCACTGAAGGAAGTGTGAGGAATGCTGGCAAAGCATGACTGGAGCCTTAATGTTTTTATGAAAGTGTATAAATTAACTAATATGCTTCAAACACTTGCTGAAGAGCAATGGCTCTCTGAATACTCTAACTAGCGGGAAATACAGAAACTGCACGCATACATTCACAGGCATCCCTATATATATCATCACCATCAACACAAACAGCTTTTATATAACAAAGTGCAATGTGCCAGTAGGATACGGCCATTTGCTACCAGTTCAAATATTGCTTTGCATTCTTATTTGTACAGAGATTTCAGCTCTTAGATGTAAGCCTCTATTGGAGGTGTATAACCTAAAGCAGAATAGGAATTTAAAAAATGCCAGAATGGGCATTTAAAAAAAAATAGACAGAATTTTATGTCCAACTGGCCACAACTCCAAATGACAACAAATGTGCAAGGCATCCAGTATCTGCTGTTGATACTTAGTTCTCCAGAAACGACACAAAGTAAAGGGTCTGGCTATAGGACAAACTCTATACAAAATGACTTTAAGTAGGGTGAAATCACTTCATTCGACCCTTTTCTGGCTGGTGGCCTTACTGTCAGTAGAGGAGCTGAAAGACACAGAACTCAGTTAAGTGCCAAAAATCTTACCTCTACCTGCACCTGGACGTCAGCAGGTTTGTTTTCAGCACAAGATTTCCTGGTCTGTCCTCGCCTGTGGCCAAACTTGCATTTGTTCCTCAGGACTTGCTCATCATCTTCAATGGGTCTTCGCACATATTTGAAACGATCTTTAAGGGCCCTTTTCCATAGCAACTGCATGCGTAAAAAAGAAATCTGTCATTACCAATTTCTTGCAAGAATTTGCCCCATTCCTAAAGCAGGTCACTTTGTTTTATCTAACCCTATTTTATTGAAAAGTGTTTGCCACTAAGCAGAGACAGATTCATAGGGTGGCATCAGTGTGCTGGTGGCTTCAGGACTGAAGGAAACACAAGCACCTGTGGTATATGACTCTATGGCAACTAAACAGCAGGGCTACTGGCACCGGTGTGATTCATTAAGGATAGCAGTAATTGAACCTAAGGATCAGATTTATCCAATATAACCAGGGCTGTCAGTGAAACTGCAGTTTGCTTTCCTTTTCTCAGCTCTTGCTTTGGGATCCACCATTCATGACATCAGGTCAGGAAACTACACCGTGAATCAGATCAGCTCACTGATGCCACAGAAAACTAATGTTTGGTTTGGGGTTTTTTGAGTGGATTATTTTTCCCCAGCCTCTGACATCATCCGACTGGTTGTGCAGTTGTATCATTATTATATCTAACACAAGGGAGTAGGAAAGACATGGTGGGATGCTCCCTTTTGCAGGGAGCCTACAGTTACACTGGATGAAGTGTATTATTAAACTGAACTCAAAACTGCCAAATTAAGAGGGTCATTTAAGTAGGTCCTAGCATTTGTGAGACTCCTCAATGCATGGAAATTGCAACTTAAAGGCAGTTCTGCACAACAAGTGGATGCAGTCCCTGTTTAACGGAGCTGCTGATCACTTCTTGCCAGCTGAACTTCCTCGTGCATCCTTACAGACAGACGGCCAGCCACCTGCAGTCCCTGCCTGGGCATCCCGTGGTGGGACCCAGCCATGTAACTACTGGCAAGCCGGGAAGCAATTACTAAGCCAAGGCTGCTAAAGATGTCTGCAGGCAAGACCTGCAGCTGTGAATATTGAAAATGTTTTGTCAGATCCTCAAAAGCAACCTCTTATTTCAGTTATTGAGGGGTTTTCAACAGTCAGAGGGATCAAAAATTGGTCACAAAAGTGACTGTAGATGGCAATGTGGCAAGAAATATTCAAAATAGCTGTTACCTCATTTTCTAAAATTGACTCCAATACTATACTCACTCAATACTATGCTCTCACTTAATACTATACTCAAGCCTGTACTCACTGACATACTAAAGCACGGTATAAACAGAAGAATCATTACCCCAAATTTCTTACCAAAATGATGTCCTTTATTAGTCAAGGTCATATGACTTTAAGGGTTAAATTTAGTGTAAACCATAATTCAGTAAAAGTGGACTAAGTAGTACAGTATCTTTCTTTGCAGTGAGTCTGACACACCTGCCATTCTCGCCCCCAGGGTATGGGTGGGAGGGTGAGGATGGTGTTGAGGGCAGCGTTATGTTGCCTTTCTCCTGCTGAAAATACTCCTCCCAGCTCCCTAGGGTACTAGTTGATTTACAGGTCCTCAAACCTAAAAGCAAGGCCTCCAATAATGGTGAAAAATGAGAGCAGAAGAGCTATGAGAATACAGCCCCTGTGGCATCTATCTCAGCTCTTCTTGGGCAGTCTACTCACAAGGCATATTTACAGCCTCAATTTGAGTATTACACCCCAGCACTGTTTTCAAAAGCAGTAAGGTGACTACATGCCTCGAAAATCCCATTAAGGTTCCTAAATATATTTACAATTCTGGCCCTGATGCAAATACCCCAGCACTATATGCTTAGCAAAATTTTTTTTAATATTGTTATTTTAAGGCTGTTAAGAAACAAGCAAACAAAAAACCCCTTAGTTTAACGCTTCTCTGAAATGTTCATCAGATGTTAAAATATTTTAAAACACTATCATCCCAGAATACATTACCAGCTGACAATTTAAATATCCCCTGAGTTGAGTTTTGTGCAGTTTCTTTCTTTTGAAAACCTTTGTTTGGCTAGGAGACATTTTTGCTTATTCTTCCACATGAAAGAATATGCTGACACCTATACAGAGCTTTAAATATCCCCTCAAAGTTCAAAACATTCAGCTGTTTCATCTTCTTGTCCTCAGATAAATTAAGAGTTTTAACTAAATCTATTACTGTAATAGGATTCTCATAAGCTTATGCAAGTCCCTTCACACATACCTGTTTCATGAATGAAACTGCGAGCACATACATTTATGTGGTTTTCCCTAGTGGGTAATGCATCTTTTAAAAAGGATACTTTCATTACCATTTTTGAGCTGGTAACTTTATTTTCTATTAATTCACACACACCTCCCCCCCCCCCACAAAAAAGCGCATTTCTATTAATTCACACACACCTCCCCCCCCCCCAAAAAAAAAGCTCAAACCACTCCAGGAAGGTTTACAATGCTTGTAACAGAGCAGGATTAGTCTGTGTCTATCCGACATAGGAGGGAAAGGATTACACGCAGATAAAAAGCAGTAATTTACTAATGAATAATCATTTTGCGTGCAGCAGTTACATAAATCAGGCATGTCAGCACTGGGATCCCGGGTTTCACCGGTGTCACGGCACCGCTCGGCAGCCCCACGCTCGGGGGAGCAGCTTAGGCAAAGCCCACTGGCATGCGGTGCGGATGAGAGAGCCCCGTCTTTCCCTCCTCATGTAGGGCTGCCTTGAAATCACACAATTTTCAATTGTTGTCTGAGATGAAATAAAATAAGGGCAGTGACTCTTTCCAAATGGTTGGTTTTAACCCTTGTAAAAGAAATAAACACAAATAGAATAGTATCTTGCAAGTGGTCAAGAAACGGTGTCATGCCAATTTTGACTGCTGCAGCTATGATCTCGGCTTTTTCTATATAGCCTATTTGTCTGTAACTACTTACAAATGTTGCATTGGTTACATTATAGGTCAGAAATCTAATAATCTATTTCATGATTAAATTGACACTCATTTTTTAAAATGTTGAATGTGTTACTTTATGATAACATTGTTCTTTAAGTAGAAGAAAACATTATGGGAAAAATTCCTTAGGTAAACACCTTAAAGTACTTCTTTCCAAAAGCTAATCTTGGAACAGGGTGGGGAAATTAATTTCATTCCAAGTGCTCCACGGACCTCTTAAATGAGTTTTGCTTTAAGTATAAAATGGCTTAATTTTTTAAATTATTATTTAGGATTTCAGATAATTCTTTCTTCATT